AGTTCCACCTGGTTCTGCAGAAGCCCCGCCCCCTTTAAAGAGATCGGAGGGTGTCGGAATTTTCTGCCAATGGGCTGCCCAGAAGGGAGGCATCAGATGACGGGAAAGCCCAGTTCTCATTGGCCGGGCTGCCTTGGAAGAGAATTGGGGTGCGCGTGTGTGTGTTTGGGCTTGTGCCCCCAGCCTTTCTCACCTCCTCTGCCTCTGGGGTCCCTCTGAGCCCGTGGACTTACTCCAGGAAGCCCCCAAGGCCCAGGCCTTTCCTGCCAGCCCCGGATCTCTGCCATCTCCGCCGGCCTTCCAGAGCTGGGCCCAGAACCCTCTTCTTCCGTCACCCAATGAGGTCACCCTCTTCCCCAACGAGGCTCCCTTGGGAGCTGCCCAGCTCGTCATGGCACGTGGGTTTCTGACGGGCGCTGCTTCCCCTTCGGTGAGTCAGCCTGCAGGGGCACCTGCTGAGCAGGGAGAACTTGGCAGAAGTTGGGGGCTCCCTCCTGGCCAGGCTGGTGTTGCCTTCCCAAGGCCTCCGTGGGCTTCTCTGTGGCCCTTAGGCTGCCTCTGCGGGCAGCTGATTCCTGGGGTGGGGGCACCTGTGGGCTGGGGGAGGCGAATCCACTGGAGCTGCAAGGCAGAATTGGGTGGGGGGGCTCCACTTCTTGGAAGCCAGGCCTTTGCTGACTTGCCGGTCAAAAGCTTGGTCTACCACGGGGGGGAAGAATTGATGCCTGAGCCCCCATCAGACTCCTGCCGTGAGACGGGGGGTAGGGGTGGGAGGGGAGTGTCCCCAGAGAATCAGCAAACCTTTCTCAGGATCTGTTTTTCTGAACACTCTTCTCCAAACAAGCATGTTTCTTTTTTCAATTTGTTTGTGTTTCTGGAAAATATTTTGCTTTTTAAAAAATGGTCTATTTGCTTTGTGGCGTTCAGCAAAGTTTGTAAAATGTTGCCTGGCTCTTAAGCAGAAAAAGGAAAAAAAAAAAAAAAGATACGGAGTTATTGCTAATCCGAAAGAGGAAATAGCCAAGAGCTTCCCAGATGAAAAAGGCTTCCATTCCTCAGGGGGAAACTTGCAGCTCAAAAATGCCACTTGGGAACGTCCCTCCCTCCAGGAAACGGTGCTTGGCCGCAGGGAAAGGAAGGGGGAGGGCTAGGGTGTGGGGCTGGGTACTCTTTAAATCCCAGCCCTAAATCCTGATTCGCCAGTTGCGTCCCTTTCTGGATCGGGACTCGTTACGCACGGTCACTCATGCCCTCGTCACCTCCCGTCTGGACTATTGTAACGCTCTCTACATGGGGCTCCCCTTGAGGAGCACTCGGAGGCTCCAACTGGCGCAGAGTGCGGCCGCGCGGGTGGTGATGGGAGCGACGTGGCGCTCCCATGTAACGCCTCTCCTGCGCGAGCTGCACTGGCTCCCGGTGGTCTTCCGAGTGCGCTTCAAGGTTTTGGTCATCACCTTTAGAGCGCTCCATGGCTCAGGACCTGGTTATCTACGGGACCGCCTGCTACCACCAATAGCCTCCCACCGACCAGTACGCTCCCATAGAGAGGGGCTCCTCCGGGTGCCGTCGGCCAAACAATGTCGACTGGCGGCCCCCAGGGGGAGAGCCTTCTCTGTGGGGGCACCTACTATCTGGAACGAGCTCCCCCCAGAGATACGGAGGATTCCGGATCTGCGTACCTTCCGTCGCACGCTGAAGACGTTCCTATTCCAGCAAGCCGGCCTGACCTAAACTTCTCCTCTTTTAAATGGGAATTTTAAATTTGGTTTTAAATTATTGGGGTTTTAAATATGGTTCAGCCAAATTTATCTAACTTGTTTTATTTCTATTTTAAATTTTGTATTGATATGTTTTATTTCATGGCTGTTCACCGCCCTGAGTCCTTCGGGAGTAGGGCGGTATACAAATCTAATAAACTAAACTAAACTAAACTAGCTGGCTCACATTCAGAGGCCCCTTTGCAGTAGCTTGGAATCTGAGGTAGACTGCCTCTGGACATGGAGGTTCACAAGGCAGCTGCTGTAAAGCCACCCTGCCTGACACATTCTGAGCTTTCTGTCAAAGGTTTTATGCTGTCAAAAAGCCCCTCCTTGGATGACGGAGCGCCTGTCATTAAGGTGCAGGAAACGAGCCTTCTCGAGCATTGTGTACTAGCCTCGAGAAACGAAGGGGGTGCTTCAAAATGCTAATAAATATTAATAATCGGGCGTTGCTGCAGCTGGGACATCCTGGTGCCCCACGGCGGTTGGCTTTCCTACATGCGGAAGGAGAGGGGCATCTCGGTTTGGTAGCTTTATTTTTGAAAGCCAGGTTTGAAGGAGGGTCATTTCTAGGCAGGAAAGATGCACAAAGCCCAACTGTATGTTGATATGTCTGAATGTGCATTTCTGCATCTGCAGCCTCGGGAACAAAGGAGGTGGGACATACACCAGGCTCCTGTGAGCCGTTATGACCCCCCACCACCACTCATTTGGCCTGCAAAGAGGCAGGAGGAAAAAGCCCTGGAATTTAAAACCTCAGTAGATCCGTACAGAGGCCCACACAGAGTCCTTGGATATTTGGCGTGTTGCACCACAGCTGCTATGCTGCACTCAAGAAATAAATGTAGGTTAACCGACTAACAGAGTTGGAAGGGACCTTGGAGGTGTACTAGTCCAGCCCTAATCTAGCCATTCTGTCTATGAGCCTCCTGCCCAGAGAGGATGGGGCTAGACACCAACAGATGCCCCTGCAAAATAGGACGGCCTTCACATGGTCTGCAAACCTCTGTGGCGTCCGACAGCTGTTGCCGTTGAGCACAAGCCCTGGCTGTTCTCAGAACTGGGGAGGACAAACCGGAAGCCCCCTCAGTTGCAAGTGCTGACCCTCTCTCTGCCGCCCTGGGCCTTGGAGACAGGAGTCCTTCCTACAAGCCATCAGCTCCCCCCACCGTGAAAGAAGCAGGCCCTCCTCCAGATTTCATAGCAATGTTGCAACTTCATTTGTCCACCTGTGAGATTCTGATGCTCGGGACATCAATGGGGGTGCATAGCAGGGGTGAAATTCAGCAGGTTCTGGAGAACCGGTAGTGGAAATTTTGAGTAGTTCGGAGAACCGGCAAATGCCACCTCTGGCTGGCCCCAGAGTGGGGTGGGAATGGAGATTTTGCAATATCCTTCCCCCAGGAGTGGGGAGGGAATGGGGATTTTGTGGTATCCTTCCCCCGCCACGCCCACAGAACCCGTAGTAAAAAAATTTGAATTCCACCAGTGGTGCATAGCCTCACTCTATGACGCTGTGTCCAGCTATTAATTTAAAAACCTCCATAATGACACCCGGAGCCTTTCACAGTCTGGGGAGATTAGATTAAGGCCTGCTGGGATAGGGAAAGTCTTTCCCGCTCGCAGGTGGGCGCAGAGGCAGGAATCGAATCCGGGTCCCCCTTTGAGTTGCTGCGTCTGCCTCTGAGCCCAACAAAGCCTCTCCTGCACACGGCCAGGTTGAAGCTGCTCGCTTTCAAGTGGCACAGCCGGGATGTCATTTCCGAGCCGGGAGCCCTCCCAGCGATGCCTTTTGAGGGGCGAGAGAGTCGCTTGGGTGCACGGCTAACACCGCCACACGCACACGAAACCGTGTTAGCGCTGCAGGAGATTAGCCACCCTCTCCAAATCCCTTGGAATAGAGCAGGAATCTGCATGCAGCCATCCAGCGCTTGGCTTCTCCCCTGGCACATTCTGGTAGCTTTTCCGAACACGAAGCGTGTCTTGATTCCAAATAATAGATGCTTGCATTTACTGGAGACTAATAAGGCTTACTTTCAAGTAAGAGATTGTAGAAGGAGAGACTCCAGCGGTGGCCAATGTCACCAGGCTATGATTAACAAAATCTTCTTAAAAGCCACCTGGAGCCGTTGGATGTCGAGATGGGTGGCATATAAATTTAATAACTAAATAAATACGTGGCACTAGTTTTTGTGCACTGCAGCACCTGAAAGCTTTTAATAAACTGAGGTAGCCGGACCAGGTGCTCCCCGCCCTCTCCTGTTCTCCTCTCCTCCTCCTCCTCTTCCTCCTTCACGCCGGATCAATGAGCCCAGTTAAAATTGGAAAAAGAGAATTCTCATAAAAACATTTCTGGATCCATTTCACCGGCGATTGATCCAAACCCTATTTGGTGCCAGCTGTCAGCTCTGTTGACGGTTGAAGGAAATGGTTTTTCTTTGTGTCCGTCGAGAGAAGAAAGGGTAGATAATGTGAAACTCTGAAGACCGGGGAGTTGAGCCGAGGAGAATTTTGGAACCCTCGCTAAGTGAAGGGCCTGATTTTCTGGAAATGACAGACCCGTGAGTCATCAAATGCGGGAAAACAGTCGGAAGGAGAAGGCCAGCTCTGGATTTCTTTCCTTTGTGTGGCAGAAATGTCATCTTTTATTCTTTGATGCTCCTGTCTACATCCATCCTGCAGAGCTGGGCTTATTTTCTGCCTGAGTCGCCTCACCAACAGTTAGGCACCTTTAGGCATTGGGTGACCTGGCAGCCCTTCGCGAGCGGAGACCTAACTGGGGAGAAAAACGCATTTGGGGCAGTTTTCGGGGGGTTTGGCTCGATCCGAAGCGCTGAGGGCAGGGTCTGAGAAGCTGGCTTACTCTAACTTGCTCTCTTTTGGACTTTCGAGTTGCCCAGGGATGCCTCCAATCCGGCCTATGCTGGCATATGGGATCCATCTCTTTCTGGGTGACGCCTTGAGCCTATCGCGTTTCCCATAATGCCCTTGGAAGGATGGCTTAAGAGGGGACTTGAGCCCCCCAAGATTGTGCGGGCAGAGGGAGAGAAAATCTGGGGTTGTACTTCTCACTGGCGGGCGTGAATCCATTGTAGCCCTTCACCAAAGCCTTGATGGAAAAGAATGGGGGCAGGGGGGGGAGAATGAGGGGCCCTTGCGGGGGGGGGCTCTGTCATTCTTAAGCACCCTTTTCTCTCTCCCCCGCTCAATAGTCTTTCTCCTCCTTTGTGTCATTTGCAGATTCCCCGCCGGAAAGGACTGGGCAGAGACGTGGCATGCCGGGTGGGGCTCTGGAGAAGAATCCCAGCATGGATCTGGCAGCCACCACCCCGTTCCGGGTCACGGTGAGTCCCTCTTTCTGCCCTCTGCGCATGTTCTGGATGCCCTCGGGTGGGGGGAGCGGGTCCTAGGAAAAAGAAGCAGCACATCTCGCTTGCATGGCCTTTTCCAGTGGCACGGAGTTCCATAGGAGAATGTATTTAGCACTGCAGGAGGATGTGAGAGCGGGGCTTTATAAACGCTCTGGGTGGTCACGCCCCCAAGTGGCGATTGGCTCCTGGGCTCCCAAGGCGGAGTCCCTTGAGCTGTATAAAGCCAGCCCTGAATTTTGACCAGCTGTTCGTGCAAGACTCCCGCATCAAAAGTAATTTATCCAAATTTATCCCAAGGTAAAGGAGAAAAGTCATCCTTTATTGACTATGTCCCTGCTCCAGGGGAGCAGAAGCTTCCTTCCCCGCCTGCCTCCCTTCCGTGGCCCTGATTTTTCATGGTTTTTCATTGGAAGAAACGTTCCATCAAAGAGTGGCTGGAGGGGGATTTTAATGGAAAAACAGAGCCCATCCCTTCCGTCTCCTTTGGCTGGTGGGGGACATTTGTCCAGCTATTATTTCTGTTCGGTCAGGGGTGGGGGCTGCACTCCTTGAAGACAAATGGCTTTTCCGTTTTGCCTGGCATGGGGGGGTGGAACGAAAGAAGAAATTCTGCTATGCCTTAACCACAAATCGCTTTTATTTTTATCCGCTTCGGCTTGGTTGAGCGAACTGCATTTAAAAAAAAAAAAAAGCATATGTAACAGAGAAAAGCATTCTATAAGTGATGCGTTGTGGGCACGGGGATGTGATGCTGGGGCAGGTCAGGCTGTGGGCCTCAGGGGTGACGATGCCCGGCGTGCCCCCTCCCAGCCACATCCAGAGGGTGCAGGTGCCCGAGCCCTGCAGAGGTGCCTGCAAAGGCCCAGACCTGGCACTTCCCATGCCCACAATCCAGGCTCCTGCCCCCATGGTGTCCTTCTCTTCTCCACCCTCATGCCCCCCCCCCCACACGCACCCATAAATGGGAGGAAGCCTGGTCTGAAAGGAGGTTCGGGCGATTTCTGCCCCTCCCCCTCCGCTCCTGCAGACCAATTCCTGCCATTGAGCTCCCCTTCCCCCACCCACCGCCTCTGAGTAAATTATATTTTAATGGTGTCCTTTTCTTCAAGAGGATTTTCTGCCTGGCGGAGGAGAGCAGTTGGAGTGAACTCCGTTCTCTGCGGTGGGAGCCCTCAAATCTTTAATTGAAACCTAATTGTTTACTAAACCGCTTGAACCAAAAGGGAAAATTACTATAATTTGGGTCTGTGGATGATTCCCTTCACCCTGGCTGTTGTTTTTTTTTTAAAGAAAACAAAGGGGGGGAAAAAACACCCCTTTTATGGGTACTGAATTTTAAGGAGGAAAAAAAGGCGCATTACCTTCCATGATATATAAACATGCAAGTGATTATCATTAAACTGTCCGTGGCCACCGGGTGCCAGCAACAAATTAAATGCAAATCGTTTTGGGAGAATCGACCGACCGTTGGGTTGAGTCAATGCGAGCGGAAGAGAGGAAGGATGGGCTCGCCCACCCCTGAAGTGAGGCCCAGACGAAGTCCCAAAGCCCCCCCCCCCCCACCTTTGGCTCCCCCTTCCTAAGGGAGGCTGGGTGGCCACAAGGGCCAGCAACCTGTCTGAAGAAATCCTATCTCAACCTCCAAGCCGCTCTCTGCTGTGGATTATGGGTCTGAAAAATGCAGGAGCACTAAGCGTTGTTTGGAAGGTGGATTCAGGGCTCTCTAGATGGTATCTGAGGGACGATGGGATTTGTAATCCAGGCTAGTGAGGCTACCTCAAATGCCCACTTCTGTTCTGCTGGGGGCGGTTGGCGTTTTTGGTATCCCTTGAGCCTCAGTTTACCCTCCGCTTCGAACTCTTAAGGGGGCAGGTTTAGTTCTGGCTTTGCACCCTCGTTCTATTCGGCTATGTTTTCGGGTTGAAGATTAAGGGCCGATCTGGTGCAGCGCTGGGTGGTGACTTTTCCTCCAGAAGGAGCAGGTTAGTGCCGTCCTTTGCCTCTTGTGGCAGTGAGTTCCAGGGGATTCCTCCATGTCACCTGGCGCCCCACGGTCCTGATCCCAGAGGCCTTCACTTCTCTGTTCCTGCCCCTTTGCCAGCCCCACGGCTCCCTCTTAGTTGCGCCGATCAGCCGCCTGCCATGCCCGTCCTTCGGCCTCCTTTCCAGCACCAGGCGGTGCCCGCTGCTGCCAGCCTGCTTCCTCTCCCTGCCACCTCAGCAGCAGCAGCCGCAGCAGCAGCAGCCGGGGAGGTGACATTGATTTCCATCTGCTCTTTCCAACTTCCGTTGCCATGGTGACCGGATTTCGTTTCTTTGCCGTGCCGGGCCTTTTTCTCCAGTTTGGCGCGTTCTGAAAATGGATGAACTGGTCAGGGAGCAAAAAGGGCCAGAGCTGGCATGGTAGTGGGCATGTTTCCCACCCCCAGCCCTTTGGCAGTGGTGGCCCCCAGGCTGCAGAGGACTTGGAAAAGGGGCTGCATGGTGGAGGAGCTGCCCCCATAATTATCCTTCTCACCGGAGGAGAGGCAGGGGAGAAACTCTCTTGGCCACCCACGCCTCTCCTCAGCCGGGTCAGAGGGCGCCGTCTCGGCCGGTCCCTGTCCTTTAAAGTGGAGGAGCAGTCAGCCTCATCCTTGGCGAGAGGGCCCCGGGCAGCAAGGGCCCCTGTGGAGGCCCCCAGCACCAGCACCAGATCAGTTCAGCTCTTGGACGTTCCTCCCCCTCGACCGTAGCTGAGTGGGGCCAGCAACCGGCCACACCAGCTTGCCTCCCCCTGACCAAGATATGTCGGGGACGGGTGGGTGGATGAGGGGCCAGTGGGACCAGAGAGGAGGCCCATGCCCCGCCCATTGTCTGCCACTCGTGGGTGCCAATCGATAGCGCCGGGAGCCGGGACCAGATCGAACTGCCTTAGAGGGTTGTTGTCGCCCTTAGCAATGCGCATCCTCGGAGCGCCAGGCAAGTATTAAGAATGGCTATGCAGTGGTTGTAAGTGTGAAAAATGGTCAGGTCACTTTTTTTTTGTGCCATTGTAACTTTGAATGGTCGTTAAATGAACGTTTGTAAGTCGAGGACTATCTGTAGCAGCCACTGATTGGAGAAGAGGGATGGCAAAGAGGTGGGACCGACCCCGGGAGGCCTTGCTGTGCTGTGCTGTGCGTGAAGGGTTTACAGATGAAACCCAGGTTTTTCCAGGGTGTGGAATCCAGCCAAGAGGTACGAAGGGGCCGTGTGGGGCTGCTCCACCCCTCTTCCTCACCCTTCCACAAAATGTGTGCCACTCCACCGACACAGATGGAAAAAAACACCAGTGTTTCCACGCAGCCGGAAAGACGGGAAGGAAGCGAAGCCACGGGAGCTCACGAAAGGCTGATGGATCACCAAGCTGGTGTCTACATTTTTATGAAGTGTTTCCAACATACGTCCTTCCTTCCTTCCTTCCTCGGGGACGCCACGATTAGATTATTGAAAACGATACGTTGCTCTCCGCTCGTTCCGAGGAGGGGCGTTCGACTGCGATGCGATGGAGGGGGACGCCGGCTGCCAGGTGCTGACACGGAGGGATGATGCCAGCCGACCTTTGAAAAGTGCGAAGCGAGGCCAGGCTGGCACAGCGGTGATCCATCGCTGATCAGGAGGACGCGAACGCCAAGCCGATTGTGCCTGATGAAAGTGGGCTAGAAGCGTAGATTTATAGGAAGGCGAATAAATTCCTGTCAGCCGGCGATGATTATCTCCTCTGCTCTCCACAGATTCCGGTCTTCTCCCCCACACGTCGTCTGGGGCTTCAAACGCCTGCTTTTGATTGGGATCTACTGCTCTCTGTTGGAAAATAAATCTCCTGCGTTTTCTGCCAAGCACCGGAGAGGCTTTAAACATGAAAATTTCTAGATTGATTTGGAAAAGGCTCCAGGCCTCTTTTTCATCTCGGGTCCATCAGACTGTGCCTCCTCCGATTTGTCCGGGCGGCTTCCCAGGCACCCTGAGTGCCGTTTCCACACACGTGGCCCCGTTCTGAGCGGCTCTGGGGCCTAGAGAAGGGCTGCCAGCCGAGATGGCACATCTGGGAGATGCCCAAGGTGGAAAAGAGAAAAAAGGAAGGCCGGTTTGCTTAGAGAGGGTTCCCAGACTGGAGGAAGGAGCGTTGCTGGGCAGGGAACAGGGGAAGGAGGATGCTCAAGGTACATCCAGCCTGGTACCCTAATGGATAAGAGCCAAGAATCTCAGGGCTTGGGGCTCCAATTAACCCTCAGGTAAAGCTCCCCTCACATGTATGTGCTAGTCGTTCCCGACTCTAGAGGGCAGTGCTCATCTCCGTTTCAAAGCCAAAGAGCCAGCGCTGTCCGAAGGCGTCTCCGTGGTCATGTGGCTGGCATGACTCAACGCCAAAGGTGCACGGAACGCTGTTCCCTTCCCACCAAAGGTGGTCCCTATTTTTCTACTTGCATTTTTTACGTGCTTTCGAACTGCTAGGTTGGCAGAAGCTGGGACAAGGAACGGGAGCTCACCCCATTACACGGCACTCGGGATTCGAACGGCTGAACTGTCGACCTTTCGATCGACAAGCTCAGCGTCTTAGCCACTGAGCCACCGCGTCCCTTTCCAGCACCTGGTACACTGTCTCTAACCATGGAGGTTCCAATACAAGGTCCTGGTTCACCTCTGAGGAGAGGGAGCTGTAGCCGGGGGGACCTGGGGGGGGAGATGTGCCAGGCTGGCGACTGCCCACTAGGCCACCGTTTCCTGCTGGTGAGAAACCTTCACTGTCAGGGGGCAGGGATGGGCGTGCGTAAGAGGGTCACGGACTGCATCTCAGCCATTAAAGGGGTCGGGTCAGAACAAGGGGAGGTGGGCTCTCTCAGGCTGGTCACCAGGAGTGCTGATGCAGTGCAAAACCCCTCCCTGCCTCCCCTTAACAACATCCTTCTCCCGCCAGGCAGGGCCGGTGTATAATTTTCTAAGGTATCTGTAGCCATGGTGATAAGGAAGGTATAATTACCTCCACTGGGAAAGGCAGGTAGATAACGCGAAATATTTTGTCCTTCCTCTCGTGAACAATAACATGGCGCTGGGAGGCCTGGCGTTTGCAGCATCTCCCGTGCCGTCTGATTTATCCTCTGCCTGAGTCCGAGGGCACCTGCCAGGTTTCCTCTCCCTGTCCTGGGATCCTTGGGGGACCCCTTGGCAGGGAAGTGGGCACCTCTTTGGGGCAGGTGTGCCAGGAGAGACACCCACCCCACGGCTCTGAGGTGGGCAGGCGTTGGAGAGAGCCAGGCAGGGTCCCTTTTGGCAGCCTCTGGTTTGTGTTCTTTGCCCTTTCTGCCCCGGACTCCAAGCAACAAGGGGCTTGGGGCTGGCAGCCTTCCTTCTTTTTGGCACACCCAACTGTGCCACCGTCCTGGTGCCCTGCTGGCTGCAGACCAGGTGAGGCAGCCCCAAAGCAGGCCAAGACAGCTTGGCAACCCAGGACAAGGGGGGGGGGGCGTTGGTGGGCCTCCACCTCCAGCCAGTGGCTTTGAGCAAGGGAAGGGGTGACTTTGCTTGTGACAAAAATGTGGACATCTTCCCAGGCCAAAACCAGCCAGGCACCAAGGAGTGCCCAGACCTTCTGCGTGGCTGGAAAAAGCAACTTTCCTTGGGCAGGACAGATGCCAGGAGCCCCTTTGGCTTCTCCTTCCCCTTCTGAAATTTGGACGGGGGTCGTTTTAGGGACTCGGCTTCGCCCTCCAGAAATTCAATGGCTGGGGAGCGATCACGGACGGGTGGGGTCTCCCCTTCCTCAGCCTCCTGGCCAACAGAGCTGCCAGGCGTCTCATCCAGAGGCACAGAAGGGCTGCGGCTGCTCTGATTCAACAGGCAGGACCCATTTTCAGCCCCAGATCGAGTTCTTGACCTGGAACAAACAGGCTTTTCTTGGTTGTCCAGAACAGGGCTGTGGATGATGATGGTGGTGGTGATGATGATTGATGAAGCTTCACCTGACTCTCAGCCACTCTGGCCGGTTTGCAAATGATTTAGAACATGAAAACAAGACAATAAGAACTTCGGGGAAGAAAACTGAGTAGACATTGGCAGAAAAACAGGGTGGAAACGAAACAAAATTGGGTTAAAAGGAGGCTCCAGGCCCCGAGGATGGAGAGCCCCGGAGGAGGAAGCTGGCTAAGGCTTTTGGTGCACAGAGAAAAGGCTCCAGAGCATCCCAACAGCATAGCCAAGGATTATGGTTTAGGTTGCACCTTCAAAGTTGGGGGATGGCAGGATGCGGGAGAAAGGCCGGATACGGCTGCAAAAGAGGGGGGCAAGGGGACCCCTTTCGATGGGGCCAGATTTTCTGGGTACCGCTGGGCTGGGTCGAGGGCCAGCTTCTCTCCCATCCTGGGCATCGTGCTAAGGAGGAGGGGGCGGCACCTTTCCCGCCCCCAACCCCCCCCTCCCCGATGCCGATGTGCCAGCCGTTGCAACACGCTCGGCTTGCAGCGCTGCGATTTTCTTTTCTTTTTTTTTTTTCCTGCGAGCGGGTGGTTGCCAAGGAAACCGAGGCTTCGGGGAGTCTCGCGCCGACGTCGCATCGCCGCCCGGCTCACTCGCCGCTCGCCTGCCGGATGCTGGGCGGCTCTCTGCACCGGGCGCCGCCGCCGCCGCCCCGCCCCGCCCGGTAACGCCTGTCTGCCTCTCCCCGCAGGGCTTCCTCAGCCGGCAGCTGAAGGGCTCCATCAAACGGACCAAGAGCCAGTCCAAGCTCGACCGGCACAGCAGCTTCCGCCACGTCCTCCCGGGCTTCAGGAGCACCGACCATGAGAGGTGAGAGCCCGGCCGGAGGGGGCGAGGGGGGGCGGCGGGGGGAGCGCTGCTTTCGGCCCCTGCAGGCAGCCATGGCGGCTCTTCTGCAGGAAGGGGGCGGCTCAGACCCTCCACCCCTCCCCGCTTGCAGCCCCTTTCCTCCCGCAGCAGCAATGAAATGGTGCAGGGAAGCCAGGCGCGCTGGCCGAGGAGGAGGAGGAGGAGGAGGAGGCTTTCCTCTGCCTGGGTCGGGGCTTCGGGTGGGCCGGTGTGGCTCCGCCAGGTCCGTGCCGAGAAGGATGTGGCGGTTTTCTCGCTCTTGCCTGAGAAGGATGTTTGGGGGCTACCTGGATTTTGGGGTGGGCGAGGGGAGGGGGTTGATGGGGGCTAGAGACTGCTTCTCCGGTGCCGATGGAGCCCCCCACCCTAACTGAGCCGGGGGCAGGAGACCCGCTGAGCAGGGGGCTCTAGAGAAGAGGCGTGTGGCGGTGGCCGGATTATCCATGGAGATGCGAGTGCCACACCCCTCCCAACTCTGAAGGGATCTTTGCTGGTGATTTGGTGCGCTAGGGTTGGTAAAAACGGGTGACCTAATTTTCTAATTTCTGTGGAAATGGGGAGGGGGCAGAGGAGGGACTCGCAGGCACAAGCCGCCTGGCTACGATGAGGAGTGGGCTGCAGCCCCCCTTCCTCGCCTTTCCCACTGCAGTGATGGTCTTCCAGATGGGGACACGTCGTCCATCTGCCCAGCCCCTTCCTCCCTTCCTCCCGAGACACGACTAGCTGGGCATTTGCCTCCTGTGGTGGGCACATCCTGCACGGTGGCACTGGTTCCTTTTAAAAAACCTGTGCCTGCTTTTGGGAGGGGAGGGCATCACTTGTGTCGGCACTTCCTAAGCGGCCCCCAGCCACCGTGGCCTCCTGCCACCCAGGGACCGAGGGCCGTCCAAATGGCATCGTGGCTCTGGGCAGCGACTGGGCGCAGGCAGCTGGTGCAAACTGAGATCTCTTGGCCCGCGTTGTGATTGTGAGGCGGAAGCTGCCGTGGTGTGCAAAACAGAAGGCCGGCGGGATGGAGATGGCAAGGGAGGGGCGGGGGGGGTCCTTGCAGAGACACAATCCCCTCATTTTATTTCGTCTTTCTTTAAAAAGGGGGGAGGATTTGGACAGGAGAGGCTAACATTGCATACCTGAAGGTGCCAAATGGGCCATTCAGTTTCTCGGTGGTCTGGTTGGTTCTGCCTGGGGAGGGTCTGGCTTTCTTGGCCCTGGTCTTTCTCCCCCCCCCACTTTACTTCCTGTTTACGGTCCAGCCAGCCATCCGCTGGTCTCCTTGCTCCGTCTCTGCTTGCCTGGACCACGCCCCTGACGGCTCCTTTCATCCTTTGCAAGCAGCCCCAATTTGGGGAGGGGGGAGGCAGATGCCCGCGATGCAAGCTCTCTTGACATAGGAAGTTTCCCATCCCTCCCCTCCCAGTTGCCCCCCCCCCTCAGCCGCCGTCTTCCTTTGCCCGATCTTTTCCAAGGGTGCTGACAGACTCCATCTTGTTGAGGGGGCTTGAGCACCTCCCCACCCCCACCCCAAAAAGGGCATCTCTCAGAAGCACCAGGCATCAATGTCATTTTGTAATGGGGGGGGGGGTTACGGGTGTTGCAAAGAGAATCAAAGGTCTGAAGCCAGCTGGGATTTGTGTGTTTGTTGTGGAATTTGACAATATATGTTTGCTTGTTGCCTCCTTTTCAACTCAAAACCTCCAGAGGGATTATTGGCTTGGTGTCCGGTATTCTCTGTCCACTAGGCAAGAAGTGGGGACGGGGATGGGTGTGCCACGGAAAGCCCACTCCTCAACTGCTTGAAAGGCTGCCCCAAGCCCTGGTTAAAAATCTCCCTTTTCAGTCTTCAGCACAGGGATTTCTGGGAACTGTCCCAGGTAGAGCTGTGGAATGGGCTACTTGGAGGAGACCTAGAGGTCATCTAGTCTACCCTAGGATTTTAAGCCAGTGGAAGAGAGTGGTTTGAAGCCCCCAGAGGGGACTAGCACCCCATCCCTCTAAATTTGATTGTGCTGTGGATATTTTCTCCTATTGTTCAACCCAGCTCTCTCCTCCTGCAACGGAAGGCCATTTAATGAGGAGGGGGCGGATTCCAGCTCAGCCAGGGGGCTGTTTGTAGGTCTCTCATACTTGGCGTCTTCTGCGGTGTGTGTGTGTGTGAGAGAGAGAGAGAGGGAGAGAGAGAGAGACCAGGCAGCCTGTCAGGTTTTTGTAGGCATCGGAGGGGCAGTTGGAGGGGGATGCTTGGCCAGCCAGCCCCCCATCAATCCATGGGGCTGTCGCAGGGCTCATGAAGAGTGAGCAGAGGAGTCTTTAAGCAGTGCTGCTTGTTAACAAGCCCCCCTGTGGTTGACTTTGGACGTGGACGGCTGGCGTGGAGTCCTTATCCCACAGGCCGGGCGTCTGTCTGCTGTCGGCCTCTTGGCATCAGCTGCGGACCGAGGTCCCTGGGAAGGAAGAAACGGGGTCTTAATTGGGAGTTTTTGCAATTGATGCTGTAAGCCCCGTTGAAGCCACCCCCCGCCCCCCATAAATCCATTCATTCCTGCCACCCTTTTGTTCAGATTGTGCCAAAGGGACATATTTTGGGAAGGTGCCATTCGAACAGAGGGAAGAGATCAGAAGCTGCTCCAGATTTAACTCCTTGGGGAACCAAAAGGCCCGTCCGCCTTCAGTGCCAACCAGCTACCAGCCAGATAGACTATCGCAGTCTATGGGAGATCCTCACAGCCACCATGGCTGCTGGCTCCCCATGTCGAAAGGCATCCTTTTGGTTTATCTCTCCGGAAGGGAAAGGAGTTTTCGTAGAGCAGGCCAAGGGTTCATTTTGGTTAGAGGGGCCCAGTGGAAAGGCCGCTCGGGAGCTAAAGTGAGCCTGGGACACCCAGGCAGAACTTGCCAGCAGGGCAGTCAAAGCCAAAAGTTGTATAGAAGGCTGCTGAAATCAGGACCCTGGAGAACTCCCCCAAGGTGGTGGACGGGGCTCCTGCCAGGATGCCTCTGTTGGCTTGGCACCATCCTGCCCTGGCCCGGGGCTGGCTGACCCTGCCCCAAAGGGATGCTGGCTCTCCTGCAGCACCCAGAAAACGGGGGGTGTCCCAGGGGTTGAAATCCAGATCCCACTTGTTGGTTTTGTTGTCGGAAGACCAGTTTTCCAGCCTTTGTCCTCTAGGTGCTTTGAGGCTGCCCCCCATAATTGTGATCCTTGGAGAAGCTGATGTAGCCTCTTTCTTCTTTCACCCCCGCTTGCCAGGAGGGGGCGCCCGGCTGCCCGCCTTTCCCGGACCCTCCAAATTAAGGGCAATTGCCTTCTCAGCCATTGAGGGCGCTGGATTCAGGCCCTGCCTGCTTCCCTGGCCTTTATCTGCCTTCGGTATTTGCTCCAATTCCCGGAGAGGCTTTCCTGAACCTGGCAAAAATGATTCCCTGGTGACCGATGGAGGCAAAAAGACGGATAATCCACAGCCATCAATGGAGCAAGAAAAGGAGGTTTTCGGCTGAGGACAGAAGAAACCCTGATCAGCTGTGTTTTTAAAATTCAAGTTTAGCCAATCCATCAGGCTGGGGATAATGGGACTACGGAGGGCAGAATCCTATCCCCGCCATTCAGCCTTCCCTGCCCCTGTGCTCCCCCAGGATCAGATGTTAAAATTGCAGGCTATTTGGGTCACCTTCTCGGTGCTGTGCAAAGGACAAGGGTCCCTCTGCTTCCGTTGTGCGATTTGCTTTGCGTTATTTGCTTGCAAATTGTGTTTCAGTCCTGCCCAGCCCCAGCACACTTTGTGCAGCTTTCAGAATTATGCACATCAACAATGGAACGCACCAGTCAATGAAGAAACAGCGCGAAAAGGCCTCTCTCTCAGAATGCAAGTGAGATGAGAGAGAGAGGGAGAGGGAGAGGGAGAAGGAGGGAGGGAGGGAGGAATTGATTTTCAAAATATAGTTGTAAACATTCTGCTGTAACGTCTTCCTGGGAAAAGTCCAAAATTCTCTTCTTTTTCTGCTTCCTTTGATGCAAGTGAGTGTGTAACTAAGCCAAGTGCCCTAAATTAAAGTATTGATCTCTTCCAGGGAAGCTTGGATTCTGGGTATGCTGAGATTTTAATTTGAAAGGAAAAGATTCTTAATTATTAGGAAGCTCTGCCATTTTCCTCTCCCTCCCCCCCCCCTCGCCCCCAGTCTCCCCGTAGCCTTTCCCTTTCTTTCCCTCTCGGCGTGGGTCCCTTTGCCAGGGCTAGGCGTGTCTTGGAAAGGAAAAGGCTGGGAGTTAATCAAAAGCAGGCCATGATGCCTCTCCCCATCCCTAAACTTCCCCCTTCTCGAGCCAACAGGGCTTTTTAACAGGCAGGGAGGGAAGGCAGGCTGTGGACGGGCAGAGGTGGAAGTTTGCACAGATTCACACACATTTGCCTGAGGGGGAATCCCTGGCAAAGGGTCCAGGAAGGGCTGGCCGAGACTCTCATCCATCCCTGGTCCCACCCCCCTGGGGAGCAGCACCTGCGCAGAAGCTGGGAAAGGGCCTGGCTGGGTTCCTGCAGAGCAGCTGCCAGCCCGTGTGAGCAATAAGAGCCTTGCAACTCCTGGTCTGGCTGGGCAGAAAGCCTCAGAAAGTCACAGAGGGGGAGTTGAGGGGTCTCCTCTGTTCTGGGGCGCAGGGCCTCCTGAGCAGCCCTTCTGGCCAGGGCAGGAGCCCACCACCGCCCCACGGAGGAGCAGACACCAGGTTTGAGGTCCTGCCGGGAGGGAAGAGAGAACAGCCACCAGGATGCAAGAGGCTGTGCCCCACATTACCTGAAGTCTGCCAGTCCTGCAGCTCCCTCACCCGAGGCCACTTGTGGGGGTGGGGTGGTGGGGTGCCCCAGAGGGAGAAAAGGGGTCAGAGGAGGACTCAACGGCCCCTGGAGGTTCCCTGCTCTGCGTGGGGGCTGCACCTCTGTTCACCTTGCGGGGTGTCTGCAAATCTGCTG